GCTCATCACACCCCCAAACTTAAATATTGCTAGTCCCTAGCAATGAACTACGAAGTAAAGGAATGAAATGAACGACTATACAACTATGAACTAGAGAGTAATAAATGGATAACGCCACTTTCGTAGGGAACACGATTGCATTTAGCATATGCGACAAGCCTTTAAACCCCTAGGTTACCTTTAGTGGACGAGTTAAGTCTCGTGAGGGTTCCCAGAAATGATACCCATAACCATTAAGCTCATTATCACAAAAGAGGCACCAATATTACAAACAAGTATTAGGAGAAAACTACCTCAAGTATGCAATTTTTCAACCATTTCCAAGCAATCTACCAAAATCTCAATATCGAGTAAGCAATATGGTCCTCCACACACCAAGAAAATGATCATGCAAATCAAAACAATTCTAGAATCCTTTTTGCGTGGACCGGCATCAAACATGTTGCTATCTAAGCCAACTAGAGAAATGATCACATCCTTACCCTCAAACTAGCACACAAACCTAGTACTGGTCATAAAGACAAAAAGTGGACCTTTTATTAAAGCTTTATTGTTCTAGGTGCCCTTATTCTTTTCACTTGATTATTTATTTATTTATTTTTTCTATCCCTAAGGATCAAAGATGGAAGCATGGTGCAATGTGTTGATTTATTAAGCTTTCTAGCGATCCATGAGGTCGAGTGTTAGGTCAATGACTCCCAAACCAAACGGATTTAGGGCACTAGGTGTTGAACACTCCTAAGGACTTACAAGCTCAAATCAACTAGGTTACAAATCAAAACAACCTCCATCTACTCATTTCCCACTTCTCACCTTTTGGGAGAAGTCCTCACTTTTTTTTTTATTTATTTATTTATTTTTTTTATTTTTTTTACGTAGCATTCAATTATTAACCTACTGTTTGGGCCCTCCACCTTTCAGCGCAAGAAATTCAGTGTTTGATGAGGCTAGAATCCCGGCTACTCAATGAAAATGATTTGTTATCTACCTTTATCAAGAATGAAAGTTTTCAATGCACTACTAGCCCAATTAGGATATAACCAATTCAATAATCAACAGAGCATGTACCCCACAAATGAATGCTAGTGTGCACCTGTGTTAGTGTAGAATCCTAGAGAGAATCTTAAAAAAATCACAAAATCAGGATGATGTGGACCACAAGTGCAAGCAAGATATCAATCTTTCAAAAAATTTACTCCTAAGTGACATCCACAAGGCATATAAGGAGTATTGGACTCTCAAGTCAAGCAATTTTTAAATTCTAAGCAATATAGTCCTTAAAAGATCAAAATCACAGGTAGTTATGGACCAATCATAAAAAATCCCTCAAATACACAAGTCATGCTTAAAATTTTGAATTGAAAGCAAATACTGCAATTAACACCCATTACCCCCAAACTTAAATGGCACAGTGTCCTCAATGTGCAAAGAGAACAAAAGGAAAGAGTATATCAGTGCAACTAAGGCAAAGTGTGACGGCCCAAGTTTTATAAACCCGGTGCGTCAGTGATGACCAAAAGATGACCTGATAACAGATCCAAAATGCGAAAGCAAAAGGTGAAATAAGGTCTCTAGAGACACAATACGTCTCTAAGACAACAATGTGACTCTTAATGAGGTTACGGAACCCAAAGAAAAACAAATGTGGAAGTGACGTTTCAAAAATGGTCAAAAAGGAACCTAGGGGAAAAATGGTCATTTCCAAGGTAAAAGTAAGTACTATCAAGCACACCATTGGAAATACAATGAAAAATTAATGAATTTAGACTCAAGAATCACTTGATTCGGAGTCCGGATGAAGAAGATATGGCTAACGGAAGAAACAAGGGTAAAACGGTCAAAATAGTCAACCTTAGGTCATCTAACCGGTTACCAAGCCTTCCTAACCGGTTAGGAAGCTAAAAATGAAGACCACAACACTGCCCACACTCATCTAACCGGTTATGAGACCCCTTCTAACCGGTTAGAAAGCTAAAACAGTAGGTGCAGCAAAGAAAACTAGCAGTAAGGGTTTTTTGGGCAAAAAATGGAATTTTGAGGGCCAAGATGACGTTTTCTGGAAAAACACAAAAAAGAAACCCCCACAAAATCGAGTTTTCTACTTGATAGCGTAAGCAAAAAATGAAAAAAACACATTTTGAAATACCAGAAATGCCCTTGGAACAGAAGAGGGTAAAAACTCAACATAATGCAACTATAAGTTTTTGTTTCATCAAGAAGGGTGTTGTTTGCCAAAGTGAGCATGCAAGTGTATGTAATATGATAAAATAGATGTGCTACAATAGACTATAGCCTCATTACAATACATTTACAAGTTTTGGCATACTAAGCCTCAAATTCTCACAAATAAGCTACAATGACAATACTTGAGTTTTAAGGAAAGCATACTTGTAACCTTTCAAGTTAATGGCCCTTGGCCTCATGTCAAACATACAAAATGAACACTTCCTAATGTATTTAGATACATATTACATGAAGGAAGCCATCTTAGCTTCTAAATTACCATACATCCATGGTAAATCTAAATATAACATCCAAAAGAAAAGCATGCTAAACAAGTTGTCCACACGTCTGCCCTCTCGATCTCCATAATAGCTATCCTACTCTATGGAGGCCCATATATGCAGACATGGCCGTTTTACTTGTAGGTCACTATGCCGGTGGTGAGACCTTCGCCACCCGGACTTATCTGCCAGACGAAATGTGGTTTTTCGATTCGGTGCTATATCGAAATATTTTCATGGCCGGCCACACGACACAGAGGCACGGCGACTATCTTACAGCTCTATATGCCTTCTATACAGGGCACTGGCTGTCCATTCTTGTGCTCATCTGGAGCGTTATGATGAAGCTGTATGTTGACCACATCAGCAAGGCCAAGCCCAAAAGGGCTAAGTATCTCCCATTCGGCCATCTCATCTTACAGATTCTGAGAGACCAGTGCTATCCCTTCCAGCCACGGGAGCAGACTGAGTCTGGGGCCTATTCATTCAAGAAGAAGGATTGGGATAAGAGCTACAACGCTTTTATTAAGAGTCTGCGGGACGATGCTGCAGAGGTAGCTTAGGAGCTAGAGAGAGAGGAGATGGAGCAGGCAGCGGCAGCAACAGCAGCGCAGGCGGTGGACGATATACCAGTCGATCCACCTACCATGCACATGGATATTTATTTGGAGCAGCCTGCAGAGGACCAAGAGCATCACTCTCCGGCTGGGTCGCCCATTCATGATGAGGAGCAGGCTCAGGATCATCATTCTCCAGCTCTAGCGGTACCTGAGGCTCTATCAAAGACACCCGGCTTTGGAGAGCGACTCTAGGCTTTAGAGGATGCTGTAGTATTTATCCGCACCGACACGGTCTCTATCCGAGAGGACGTTGTCTCCATCCGAGCTGATATTACATCTCTTCGTACCGATGTCATGACTGCGTTGCGAGACTTATCTCGAGATATCCGCGGAGCACGCCCTGCCCGTCCTACCTCCTCTTCCTGATCTCTCTATCCCTTTACTCCTGTCGTTTTATCTATATGTGATACATTATTACTGTTACTTTATTTTTGCGGCTAGTTTATTGGCCCTGATACTATGCTATGATGTATATTATTTCTGTTTATACATGCTATATATTGGATGTCATACCTTGTATAAATATATATCTGTTTGTGATTGACTCCATCAGGTGCATCCCAGTGACATCAGTGAGAGAGAGTACTGCCTAAAATTTTCAGGACCACCCTTATACCTCTCTCCATTTTCAGTTGCTATCCCATTTACACTTGCTTGTCCACTGTGCACTGTTATTATCCCTTTTGTTATCTGATGAGTTTTATCCAAGTGCCAAAATTTCAAGACCACAGTTAATCCCAAATTTGGGGGGCTATGCCACCTACTTTGGATACTCTTGTTCCGGCTAATCTTTGCTATAGTTGTACTGGTATACTCTTTCCTTTTGTTCTCTTTGCACATTGAGGACATTGTGCCATTTAAGTTTGGGGGTAATAATGGAAATTGTAGTGTTTGCTTTAATTTCAAAATTTTTAGCACGACTTGTGTATTTGAGGGATTTTCTATGATTGGTCCATAACTAGCTATGATTTTGATCTTTTGAGGACTATATTATTTAAAATTTTAAAATTCCTTAACTTGGGAGTCCAATACTCCTTATATGCCTTGTGGATGCCATTTAGGAGTAAATTTTTTGAAAGATTGATATCATGCTTACACTTGTGGTCCAAATCATCCTAATTTTGTAAGAAAAACCAAATCTGCTCTCCTTCATTTTTCAATTAGATACGCTTTATATATAAAGCATATATAAAAAAATTAATTCTAACCCAATAATATCTCAAGTGGGTAAAATCTCTAATTAATTAAATCACTTCAGAAAACAGATGCAATTGTAATTACAATATATAATTACAATTGTAATAAAACCAAATCCATCCCCAATAAAAATTTCAATTGGGTAAATCACCAAACAAAACTAAATAATCAATTTTGTCAACTAAAAATCATTGGATAAATATAATTTCAACTCTTAGAAAAATTCCGAGTTGTCACATTCTCCACCACTTAAAAAGAATTTCGTCCCGAAATTCAGATCCAAAAATTTTCGCATACTTGAAAACATCAAAAGTGGTAAAACAAAATCCAAAAATCCTTACCCCAGGCGATGCGAGATACCGTGACATGAAAAACGTTGTGGTAGCTGACAGTGCTAATTACCCGCCCACAAACTCCGTAACCGTTGTGATAGCTAATTAATGCCGTCACCCGCCCACAAAAACAAGGTTAATAATAAAACCTGACAATACAACATGCCAAATCACAATTATTGACCACCCCAGTAGTTGTCAGTGAACGACACCCGCCCACACACACCAGGCTATGAGCGGTAGCTAATCAGAACTAAACACTCGCCCACTCACACCCGTCAACAACATCACCAAACTCACACTTCTGGCTGGGTATAGGCTCTGATACCATTCTGTTATGCCCTGAATTTTCTAAATAAATTCTTCGATTTGTTCAAATCCAAATACATCAGTATTACACTCCTAGGATCTCAAAATAAATAAAATATCACTTTATTGATACATCATCAATTTCCTCAAATAAATGATACAACATCTCTAAAATAAACCCTTCCACCTAAGCCCGCTACTAGCAATCCAAGTTCATCCTCGGTACCTGAAACTGTAGGGGGGTGAGACAGTAGGAAAAACCATAACAAGGATTTCAAAGAGTTTCATGATAAATTTGCTTTACAAAAATATATATATGCTTTTAAACAAAATACATATATGAATAACAATCAACAAAATATTTGAAATAAAATCATCCAAGCAATTCAAGGTATGATGATCCTTACACTGTAAAATAAATAATCAACACTTGATCATCAAAATCGCAAGTCTAGCCTTCACTGTCTCAGCTCACTGTATTTTTCCTTAATTTCTATTCTCTGTGTGTCTCTAATTCTTTTCTGTTTGCTTACAAAATTCACAAGCCTAATTTATAGGCAAAACCACCGACACTATAACTGTTCAGCACACACACACACACACAAAAATATCAAAAGACAATGATTCATTAGTGGACCCGCCACCTATATCTTCTTATCCTATCATTAATCCTATCTTCTCCACTTCGGCTGGTGCATCTAATCCACAGACATAGTATATATATATATATATATATATATATATGCAAACTAAATCAATTCAAGTGGGACCCAAAACCATTACATTTCCATTTCTTTCTCTCTCCCATGGCAGGCTGCTCACAGCTCCTTCTCCAACTGACATTATATATATATATATATATATATATATATATATATATATAGCATAATTTATGGCAAAAAATCAAACTCATGGGACCCACCAAACACAAAACAATTTCATTCCTTCTTCTCATTCCTTCTTCTCATCCAAATTCGTCTGGTGCTTTCTTTTTGCACCAAAATATATATAATATATATATTTATATATTTGCAACAAACTAAAACATAAATCAAGTGGGGCCCGCGGACAACCAATTTCCATTTCTCTTCCTGATCTCATTTAAAACCCACGGCAGCTGCATTCCATCAGTAATATATATATATATATATATATATAACACAACAAAAATTAAACCCATAATATCTTTCAAGTGGGACCCGCCACTTGTATTATCAATCATTACAATTTCCTTATTTCCCATTCATTTCCGGATGGCTGGCAGCAAGCTTCCTTATCTCCTCAAACTGATACACTTCATATATCAAAGATATAAATGTAAGAAAAACCAAATCTGCTCTCCTTCATTTTTCAATTAGATACGCTTTATATATAAAGCATATATAAAAAAATTAATTCCAACCCATTAACATCTCAAGTGGGTAAAATCTCTAATTAATTAAATCACTTCAGAAAACAGATGCAATTGTAATTACAATATATAATTACAATTGCAATAAAACTAAATCCATCCCTAATAAAAATTTCAATTGGGTAAATCACCAAACAAAACTAAATAATCAATTTTGTCAACTAAAAATCATGGGATAAATATAATTCAACTCTTAAAAAAAATCCGGGTTGTCACAAATCCCCTCAAAAATACATAAATCAAGATATAGAAAGCATGGTTAGGGCTAACTCTAGCCCCAAGAGGATGTCTAGCCACTCATGGATGGTGTTCTCCAACCCTCAAGGGCTAACTCCATGGTAGAGATTGCTCCTCTTTTTGGTTGATGGAAGAACTCCAAGCTTGTGTCTCTGGCCTCCTCCTCTCCTTTCTTCCTTGCTAAGATATGAAAATTGTTCCTCTCAAGTATAAAGTCTCTAGTCTCCAAAAGTCTCTCTCAAAAAGTGGCTCATATTCCTTATATAGGTAGGTCAAATATCACCCCACATGAGCTGGGCTCATACACCAATCATCCTCCAATGATTGGATATGAGACAACTTTTAATGAGCTGGAATTTAGATTTTCTCGGGATTTGGGAAGTTTGATCGATCGAACTTGGCTGAGATCCATCGAATTGAAGCTGGATTGATCCTCTATGGCGGTGCTTTTTTGGATAAAAACAAATCTGAGATATTTTGAAGATATTTTTGAGAAAAGGACAAAAGTGGTTGGCAGGGTGGTACAGTTGGATAAGATCTAGCATGTGGATAAGGACAAAAAGTTCGATCGATCATAGAATCAAGTTGGATCGATCGAACTTTGAGATCTCTGAATAGGGACAAACATGGCTCAGATCCATCTTGAAGTACTGAGATCGATGAAAGTTGGATCGATCGAACTTTTCTTGAGATCGATCGAAGTTGCTGAAATTCCACCATTTGCTTCCTTTTGCTCTACTTTGCTCCTTTCTTTGATTCATCCCATAATTGCTTCATTTCTACTCTGATTTGATTGAGTTAGCTTATTTTAGGGATAAGTACCTAAAAATGGAAATAATATGAAATCAATACAAAGTGGGAAAATAAGATAGATAAAGGTTCTAGAATACCAAACCTTAAGGGGTTTAAATGCGCACTTTTCAGCGCTCATCACAGGTGCATGTCCTTATACAAAAATGCTTCAAATGGCTCATGAGCCTCTAAGGATGATGAGCATCCAAAAATATTGTCTCCTTACCAGTAAAATAACCCAAACCACTAAGGTGAGTAATCAAGTTACTTATAGGAAGAAGCATATGCGTATACCCTAAAGTTTCAATATCATTGCAAGATCAATATAGATGAATACAAGGGAGCATTCCACTTAACGTCTATATATATTCAAGGTGTTCTAAGGGATCATCTTAAGCTAACTTAAATGATTCTATAACAATGCAATAATAATATCAATGTACTTAACAACATCAATTCGCAAATAGCAAAAATTACAAGTTACGATTAAACATTGGTTGCCAACTTGGAATTGAATGCGAAATCAATTAGTGGAAGATTTGGAAATCACATCTCGGGGTAAACCAAGATCAATATGGTTATTCCAGGCACTAACCCGCTGGGAAGACCACCCTAGTGTGCACTATCTCAATTGGGGAGAACACATACATCCCGCACTAGAGTCAAACTCTAGCCATGTCACTTGTAACAATGTCCCAAGAGAATCCAAAATATATCAAGTTCAAAACTTATATACCATAATTTAAGGCATGTAAACCACCTTCCATGCACAAGTATTTTGAAACCACACAAACCATGTCTTAGGGTTCCAAGTCTAGTAAAACATAATAAATGACAAGTTCTTAACATGATATGATGCACAAAACAATATCACTAACTTATCAATTTAAATCATGCCTCAACAATAAGCTTTATTATCTAAATCTTAACATTTTACCAATATGCTTCTAAAATAATTACAAATGGTAATCAATAAGAGTATAGAATTATTATCACAATATTTATAGTAATTCAAGTTAACAAGACTTGAATATAACATGAATAATTCTACTAGAGTTCTATATCACTACCACATGTAAAGATACTATAATTTAACACACTACAAGGTCATGTAATCCTTCTACACAAGGTATATACATATCATACATGCTTATATCAATAAACCCTAAGTTAAAAGTGAGGGTTTCCTATAATATGAAAACTATCATATTTAAAGCTTGTACACAATATATATTAAACCACAAAGGATTTTAAAACACTTAAAATATAAACATACTACCACCCCTACCTCAATAGAGAATTGAATCTCTATAATCCAAGCAACCAAGCTCAAAATGGAAAATAAGTTTAGGGTTAATGAAGAGGAGAGCAAGAGAAAACTTTTGTCTCCTAAGGTTTTGTGTCTAAGATGAGTGGAAGGAGGCCAAAATGAAGAAGAAAGCTATTAATCAAGCTTTTCTCCAATGGTGGCTAGGTTAGGGCTTTTGAAGAACACATGTAAATGATAAAGGAGAAGTGAAAATGGTGAGTGGAAGGTCTAGAAATCATCCACTCATTATATGCTCTTACACTACCTCACACACACACACAATGCAAGACTTATTTTGGTGCCTACACTTGTCACAAATTTAAGGCTCCTTCCTAGGTTTAATCCTAAACCTACACTTGTCAACCATCTAAGCCAACAAGTGCTCCAATCCTAGGCCAACAAATGGGTGAACCTTCACCATCCTTGTGTCATGAATTTAAGCTTCCAAGTTACTCCACCCCAATGCCAACAAATGGCACCATGAGAGTTTGACACTAGTAACACTTTTCAGAAATTGCAAAAAGGTCCTTTTTGAAAATATCTTCCAAATTAAATCGCAAAATGGCCCCTAAAACGAAAAATAATTATTTTTTCATAATTACACGAAAACCCCAAAAATCAAGAATATTTACTAGAAAGTATGCATCCATACCCTTTATTAAAAAATAAGCAACTAGAATGTATTTTCTACAAAAGTAAAAATACAAATGTCCTGGAAAACAATTATCACGGATGCATGCAAAACCGGAATCAAATCCGAGCACAACAAGTGAGGTTGTGGAAGGAAAAATGATAAACAGGAAAAAGACGAAATAGGGAAAAGACGAAAAAAGAAATCTCCGAAAAAAGAAAGGAGGAAAAAGGCCGGGTCATTACAACTTACCTTCCTTAAAAGGATTTCATCCCCGAAATCAAGTCGTACATAAAATAGAGAACAAATTGGGATACCGAGAGCGAACCTCCTGTTCGAGCTCCCAGGTAGCCTCCTCAACGCTGTGGTGTCTCTACAAGACCTTAACCAATGGAATGGTCTTGGTCTGCAAGACCTGCTCCCGTGAATCAAGAATTTGGACTGGACCTTCCTCGTAGGTCACATAATCATTAACAACCACATCTGTCCACCGTAAAATATGCGATGGATTGGGCTTGTACTTCCTCAACATAGATATATGAAAGACGTCCTGAACCCTATCCAGGTCTAGCAGCAACACCAAACAATAAGCAACTTCACTGACGCTCTCCAAAATCTGAAATGGTCCAATGAACCTAGGAGACAACTTGCCCGTCTGCCGAAATCTCAGAAGTCCCTTCCGTAGAGAAATCTTGAGAAAGACGTGATCCCCTACCTCAAAAGACAAAGATCTCCTCCTCTTGTCAGCATAACTCTTCTGCCTACTTTGAGCTGTAACCAACCGCTGTCGAATCAACTTAATCTTCTCTATAGTCTCAAAGACAATATCGGGACCCAAGGCGACTGTATCACCTACCTCAGTCCAATAAACTGGAGATTTGCAAGGTCTGCCATACAACGCCTCAAAAGGCGCCATACCTATACTGGTCTGGTAACTATTGTTAAAGGGAAACTCAACCAAGGGTAAGTAGCCTTCCCAACTACCTCCAAAATCCAAAATGCAAGCCCGTAGCATATCCTCCAATATCTGAATGGTACGCTCTGACTGACCATCAGTCTGAGGATGGAATGCCGTGTTGAAATGAAGCCCTGTGTCAAGAGCCTCCTGAAAACTCTGCCAAAAGTGAGACGTGAACCTGGGATCCCTATCAGAAATAATAGATACTGGAACCCCGTGAAGCCTGACAATCTGCCCCACATATAGTCCACTATGTCTCTCTGCGTCATCTGTCACTGCCATAGGCAAAAAGTGAGCCGTCTTAGTCAATC